GATCAGCAATGGCCACATAGAGAGAGGGAGAGACCAGCCAGCCAGCAGTACCTCCTCAGCAGCGTGTAGAGGCAACTACACTTAACACCAGTACTGAACAACAGCAACAACTGCAAATGGCACCTCCACTGTGAGTAGAGCCAGCAGATGAACCAATCCCCCCTTCGGCACAGCAGGCGGAACTACTACATCTCAGACTTGTATAAAGCAAAAAAGGAACTAATGTTGGAACATCTCAATATGGTAAATAAAGAATGGTACAACGAGAATACACCAGTGTTTTCTCTTTTTGATAAAGATACCCTTATTTACTGCATAAAACTCCCCCTTGTCAACAAAGAAACATATTTTCTTTATAATGTTAGGACATTTAAATCCCCGCACACGAAACCAGGTTATAGCGCAAAATTGGCATTACCAGCTTCAAAAATTGGGTTGCATCCTAAAACTGGTGATATTTTCAATCCCACACAATGTCTTGGTAAAAATCCAATAGCATGTAACTCGGGGACCAATATTTAGAACTGGACAGATTTGTGAAAGAGCTTATAAGAGATTCCAAACACAGAAATTTGTGTGTTGTTGAAATTACTCAAAGGACTCAAGTTATAGTTTGGACACAGAAATTGACTCTGGAAAATTCTTCATCAAGACATGGGGAGAAAGATTGTAAACTAGATGTATAAAATCACCAGAAACTTTAATACAAATCACCTTTGGCACATATCTAATTGATGTAGAAAATGGGTGTTCTGTCCATGGAAACAATTTTATTTTGCCAGGCATAATACGAAAAATTGGGAAAATTTCGTTAAAACCCATACAATTAAATTTTACAGAATCTTTTAATATTCATGCTGTTATAGTTGAAACAAAAGCAATAAAATAATTAGAAAATTTGGAGGCAAAAAATTTTAAAATGTCAGCAAAGACAAATTTAGCTCCTTTGGCTGACAGAAGGATCAAACTAGGAGGAAATTTTAAAAAAAAATGATATATATAACAAACAATGTTTTAATATAGAATACACACGGTACATAGCAACAGAAGTAATAAAAAAAAAGAACCTACCATTATAATTATTTCTCATATAGTTAAACACTATCATTGTACAACTTATGTTTTAAGTGTGAATATGGTATAAAAAGTGTGTATAACTGTCTTTAAGTCCAAAATGACTGATACCAGTCATTTTTGAGAGGGGAAAGGGAGGACTTACTATTTACCTACAGCGCTTTCCCACGGAAGCCCTTCTGGCCCTATTAGTCTTGTTAGAAGATTAGAACATGAATCCCCCCCCAAACCTCCACTCAGCAGCGTTCAATGTCCGCTTCTATGGCAAAAGTGGGGCCCCGATTGGACCACTTCCTGTCCAGTGTTGACTTCCTCAATTAAGTCCAACACATGAACCTCATTCTCTTTCAAGTGGGTGGAAATGATGTAAGAGGCTCCCCCTTTGATGTGCAGCATGGCAAATTTTTACTACCATTTACCTTCAAAAATTTCCCTCTCAGGCCATCTCTCTTTCTATCTATGCTCACAGAGTTATTACCCTCTTCCCCAGCAAAGTAGTAAACTGGAAAAACATACGATGAGAAATTCAGTCTCAAAAGGGCCAGTGAGACAATAAAATGGGAAGAGAATCCAGTTCCTTAAGGCCACTCTTTAGGGTCACCTAAAATAGAGAATTTTCATCCCCAGCCCTAAGAAACATGCAAAAATTTCAACAAAGGAAAATGCTCATACTCTAGGTGCAGATTCTTAGACAAATGCCTGCTTTGTGGCAGATACCACCCCCTGTCGCTCTTCCGGTCAGCACCCAGAAACCCCACACCCTACCAAAGAAAAAACAACTAGCCTCGATTCAAATTCTTCACAAATGAAAAGGACCATCCTGTTATGCTGCTACTCAGAAAACTCATCTTACATTGTTTAAAAGAACAACATTAACTTTTGCACCACCCACATATACCTGGCGTGGACAATTGTGCTGCTGTTGTCCTTTCTCGGTCTAATTTAGACTGCACCGGCGGGCAGATCCTCATCCTACATCTATTTCCCCAGCTTGGTCAATAGACAGCTTACTCAAGATTTCAACAGCACACTGGAAGCTGACCTCGCCAAGAACACCAGGAGGATTTACTGCAAAATTGAGCCTCTTTTATTAGAATTCCAACAAAAAACTGGACTGAGAGCACTACCTTTGGATCTAGCAGTCACAGCCCTATTTGCGCAATACCTGAGTGAAAGGTTCAGACCATCATCCATCAGGACACACACCTCTGCGCTGAGCTATAAATATAAGATGGTGAGCATTATAAATATAAAGTCTTAGCTAGTGATAAAGATTATTGCTTACCCATAAATCTGATTTATCAAGCTAGGATTTTATCAGAGTCGCTTCCTACAGCTGCCTCCATAAATAACATATCATGCATTGAAACTTCTGGCAATATTAGCCAATCACGCAACGAGTTTGAATCACCTGAAGAGGATGAGAGAAGAGGCATTACTCGCGCTTTTCCGAAGACACTCACTAGACTGCAGTGCAGCCGTACAGACGTGCACGGATAAGAGACAATCAAGCTAGCTAACATGTATTTACAATGGTCTTTGCAAACCACCAATATAAAATTCTGGAAAATGAAGGGCAGCTATGAAGCCACATCTGCCATGGTATGCGCAGACAGCACACATTTCAACGTCTACGGACATGTCAGGTTTTAGAAAAATCCCAAGTATGCTGCTAGCACCTAGCAAGACAATTGTGCTGCTGATGTCCTTTCTCCGTCTTATTTACAGGCCTTCAGAAGACTGCGCCCGTGGGCAGATCCTCACCCGACATCTATTTCCCCAATTTGATCAATAGACAGCTTACTCAAGATTTAAACAGCACACTGGAAGCTGTCCTCGCCAAGAACACCAGGAGGATTTACTGCAAAATTGAGCCTCTTTAATTAGAATTCCAACAAAATACTGAACAAATAGTGAGTAAAATTAAGTTTAATTTATTCAAATGTATTTAAGCATGGCAGAAAGAAGTTAGTTTGGAATGCAAATAAGGATCAGGTATAAAAGAGGGTACAGAGCCACAGAGAGGGGGGGGGGGACATATATATAGAGAGAGTAGAGACCCGAGTTTTACAGTCAGTTAAATAAACCACGTAGAGAAAGAAAACTACACCTGCCTGTCTCAGTTGTGTCATTGGTAAAAGGAAATCTAAGTACCCAAATAACTAACCAGCTGGTTATTACAATACACAGATGTAGACCACAAGATAATTCCTATGAAAGCAGATCAAATATTTATCAGTGCCATTATTTCACCATCCACCCTGGAAACCCTACTGGCCAGTCTACCACTTACAAGAGCCACAATTCCTACAAGAATCTCATGAGAATTTTCCTGTCATTTTTGTTTCTGAACTTTTTGGAGGCATATCTGCCAGGTAGATTACAGAGAAGTAGATTTTTGGCTAACCTGCAGAATGGAGATAAGGTCATGGTTGACCATGAATTTCAAATTCAGGACTTCCTGCTCTCATACAGAGCTACTCTAAACGTGCCCCCTTTCATCAGAAAGTGCAACTATGACAAGGATAAAAGGTTTAACCATTACAGATAAATAAAAAATATTGCTAAACACAGAATCCATGTAGAGTGTGCAATGCAAAGACTTAAGTTATTCTGATTTGTAGAAAATGAACTATGTTCCCATATGGCAAATCAGTATGTTACCTGCAGCCAGCACTTGTTACTAAGTGATGCAACAGAAAAATTCATTTGAGTGCAATAAAAGCAGAAGAATGAGTGCAGAAGACTTATTTATGTAAATAATACAGAATGATTAAGAAAAATTGATGAGGGAGGAAGATGAGCCTGATCTAGCTGTCACAGCATTATTCAAACAATTCTTGAGCAATCCTTACAAGCCATCTTCCATCAGGACACACCTTTTTGCTACTAATACAAAATGCAAACTTCTGACCAACAACCGTATGAAGATCAGAACTGATATTCTGACCTGGCAATGAACTATATTCCAAAGCTTCAATAACAGGCAGTGTAAAGCATAAACACATGTGAAGTAGAATTGGCTTTTTAAACACAGTCGTGGGTAATCAAGTTAACTCTTGAAGAATATACACTAACAACTTAGGGAGAGACAACATACACACCATGCCTGCATTCACCTGCAGTGTCTCACACCCTTGGGCTTGGGATGTGTTTGAGCCAGGTGTTCCAGCACATCAACCAATTTTACCACCATTAAAAGAAAGAACGGAAAAAGTCAGTGTGATAGCTATTATGGTTTAAGAATAGAAAACCACTCAAGTTACAGAAAATCAATTTGACAGTCCTGCCCTGTCTGTAAATTAGCAATTGTAAAACCCTCCAGGGAAAGGTGGTGGAGTCAGAAATTTACTGAAGAACTACCCCAGCAATAGTACAGGCAAACAACAAATGCCATCCAGTTCAAGAGGTATGTGATGTGAAAGAGGCAGAAATGCTTCTGATTAGACACTCTCAAAGGGAATTATACTCAACCCTAGTTCAGGGCATGCATAGGTAAANGATACTTCTTTGATTAACATAAGGCCACACTTTTTTAATTTTATGGATGACATCCTCTGGGGACCCCGAAATCGGTGCGAGAGGGCGAAAAAAAAAAATGCAGTCAAAAAAAAAAAATACTGCGCAACTTAAGGAATACTGCCAGTACACAGCTGGAAACAATAATTTACCACAGAAACATATTAAACTAACACTATGTCTTTGTCCATGCTCTCAGACTGAAAAAGCATTGTGAATATTTCGTAGAAAGGTAAAAAAAAGTCATGAATAGATATGCTGCATATTACCAAATCAGAAAAAAAAAAATATTAAACAAACAGTGTCTTTATTTGTGGCCCTTTTATGCATTTTGCTGGTATACATGTTGGTACCAATCTATCAACAAATACAATGTTTTTTAATTTTGAAATGTTCACATGGGTAATTTAGTTTTCATCTGTCTCTTCTCTTCTTCTTTTTATCTTTCTCTTAACCCTTGTTCTTTCTTCCACACCGGCTGCTTTGCACACCTACAAAAAATGCAAAGAAAAGGTAAACAGAAGACTAAAAGTTAGGGTGAAAATTAATGCATTCGACAGATTTATATGGAGAAAAGCTCTATGGCTAGTGATGAAGAAACACAACATGGGGATGTGTAGTTGAACCTATACAGGTGTTATTAATCATCCTGGCCTCAGTCCTCAGTAAAAATACAATATTACAATTACTATATTAACAATTTCCTAGTACTCAAATTTTACCCACCTGGCACACTGGATGGATACTTTGAAACTGCTCCAGTTTCTCTCTGGGTATGGGAAGTGTGTCAGTCTCTCCACACTTCCAGCATACTAATGGCAAGACAGTTAAGACTCTTGACTTCATCCTGGCTGAAAAATAGTAGACTTCCACTGCTGTTGCACACGAGAGAGCCCTACACAATAAATGATGTAAAATAAGAAATAAAATTTTAAAAAACAAACCCTGTAAGAAGCTAGTACAACCCTTATACTGAACTACTAATCTAACCAGATAAAATTGAGGATTGCTTTACTTCTCAATTATCTTTAAAATAAAATATTTATTCAAATTTAATCTTATATTTATGTTGCATTTAAAGCGCAGTTACTTAACACTCCCTCATATAGCCATTACTCACAGAATAATAACTGAAGGTCTATTCTTCACTAATATTTTTACAATGTACATTATTATTCACCTGCTGACAAAACAAATGTCCCTCAGAGGATGAGCTTCTGGGATCCAGGCTATCCCACAGGTGTACATAGCCTCCTCTTTCAGTGCTGCCATCTGTCTGTTATTCTCAGCTGACAGAGCTCTCTGACTGTGTACTGTTCTTGGCTTGTTGCAGTCCAGACATTTTACAACACCCCTTGTGTTCTCTGCATTTGGTGTGAAGGGCATTCCGTGACCTGTTGTGCGAGACACCTTCAGACTGGGTCTGGCAGATTCATCTGTTTCACTTCCATATACTTCAGAGAAGGGTTTGTAATGTTCACCTGTACTGTCCAGGACAGGATCTGGGAAGTTATTGAGCTGGCTGAAGACTTCAGCAGGTAGCCTTGGCTTCTTGCAAAGTGTGCAACCCTCTACCCCACACTTCTTGACAGTGAAGAAATAGTGCCTTGAGACACAACAGTGCCCCATGAATGCCAACAGATCTGTTTTGGTCTGAAGTTTCACTTTGGTTGTATCTGTCATGGTGATAGTTTTATCGACAATTAAAATCAAGTTCCACATTTCTTCAACCTCTAGATCTGTTGCAGGCTGGACGGTGCTGAAAGGCTCATTCTTGAGGCTGAGACGCTGTAGCAACATATTCAACATATCACGCACAGGCTCTGTACTTTCAACTATTGCCTGCTTTAGCCCTGGATTCTTCTCTGCAATCGCCCTTGCATCTTTCATGGTGCTGACAGACTCAAACAGCTTCTCCATGTCAGGAGACATCTTCTCTCTCATGATACCAATGGCCTGCAGTGACAAGTTAATAATACTCATGATCCTCTCTACAGGATTCCTGAAGCTGTTCTGGGGGGCTGTTCTTGCACATACCAACATGTCTAGGTCAAGGATTATAAACATGCAAATGAGGGAGATTTGGACACTGACATACGTCAGTCGGTGGTCTGGTCCGCCATCCCTGTACAGGCACAATATTGGCAGTCCCAGCTTGCCTGCTTGGTTGAGTACCTCGTAAAGCTCTGTTTGGTGTCTGACAGGAGAAGAAGGCTGAAAAGTCGCATCTTTCAGAGCGATGTACACCTTACCCCGGTAAAAGGAGTCACTGACACTCTCTGGGATATCACAGACCAGTGTAACACTCGGTGTAATCTTGAGTTTAGTAAAGTCGTGGTCTGCAACAGCAAACACATTGTCTCTTGCTACAAGCACAGATTTACCTCTATCAACTGCTGCCACAGGATATCCGGGTTCACCAACTTTAATGCCGTGCTTGTCATCCAAAAAGACTAATGCTGTGTACTCCTTGAACATGACTGAGAATGACTTGAGATACTTGAAGATGGCAGCTACATAGTGGGCATCAACATGGTCATGGTTAAGCTGTCGGCTCTGTACCATGTATTTTACATTGAGCCGACCTGTGTACCGAACTGCACGGTCTACAAATGGATTTTTTGGCCAAAACTGTAGACTCACCCATGAAGCACTTGGTATCTCTGATCCTGCTGGAAGTCTTGCACTCACTTGATTGATGAAGTCTGGCACAGACATTGCTAGGGCCATGTGGCAAACTTGACCATGCCGCCTATCATCTACAGTTGCCAGTTGCTTTTCCTCTATCATCTTTGTAGCTTCATCCCAGAAGTGTTGATATTTCTCCTTACGTCCTTCATTCATGGATCTCAAGTCCACAACAAGGTCAGGATCTTGTACATCTAGTAGAAATTTCAATCGCTGTCTGACCTCTTTACTGGTTGTGCATTCTTCTGCAGTTGAATCATTTGTCAGGAACTGGTACATCTCATTAAGCAATACTGGCTTTGCATTGGATACCAATGAAAATCTCTCTCTAAACCTCTTACGCATTTCCCTTGTATGATATACAGGAATATCTTTCTCAATTTGGTGGATTAGTTTGTTTGTTGTGTTCAAGTCTCTGTCCTCATGCCTGGCTGGGACCTTCCATAAGAAGTGCAGTGACCCCTGGTTATTGCCTATCTTGTATGTGTATACTTCAACACTCATGGGTAGTATCAGTTCACTGATGTAGATGTATCTCTTTCTGTAGTCTAAGGGTGCAAACTCATCCAGTAAGCATATATCATAGTCTGCAATCTTTGCAAGGTGGCTCTCCAAGTCTGCATATCTACTGATTAGTTTTGTGTCACTCCGCACTTTTGCCTCAACCCCCCTCAGTTCTGCATTGTCTCCTACACTTCTGACTGGGAACATCTGTTTACGCTGCTCCTGTACTTTTCTGTTAGATACTTGTAGGTGATCACTGTACCTGTGTAATCCTTGTCCCAGTTGGATGATAATGTCTTTCACTTTTGAGAGCTTGGGTTTATGCAGCAAGGGTAGTGATGCCATTTTGAACAGTTCCTGTGTATGTTTTTCTAGCTCACTTCTGGACAATGGTTGCAGAATATGGCGATGTTGTGCAGGGTTGTTATACTTCTGTGAGAAAGTTGTCTTGTCGTACAAGGAGCACAAGTCCTCTGGTAGATACACAGATCTTTCTGCCAGTGTTTTGAGATGTGGGAGAACATACCATACAGCATTTCTGAGTGCAACAAGGACTTCTTTGCTTGAATTCTCATTTGCTTTGTTCCTCTCAAACCTGTTTTTAAGGAAAAAATACAACTCAGATTAAAACTTATGAATTTTAACAATAATTATAATTATCAGTATAATTTTAATTTTAAAATCATTAAAAACCAAGTAGACTTTACAATGTGAAACCAGTTTAAAATAATAAAGCAAGACGTAAAACCACAGGTAAAATTAAAATACAATAGGACATTAAAACAGTTTCACAACATTTTACAAAAAGAGACATTAAAGGCCTTTTTAAAAATAATTTTTTTAAATTTATTCTGTTCTTAAAGCAACCAATTTACTCCAATTACACTGAAGTAAACACCTGATATAAAATTAATGTTGATCACAGAATATGTGGTAGTGAAATGGGAAGATCACAAGATTAACAAAAAGAAAATAAACAAACCTGAAGTCCTGTCCTTTCAATATGTCCACAATGTGGTTATAGAGGAGAATCTTGCCATTTGCAGCAGCACTCTCACCAATACTTCCAGCATAGTCGGGATACATCATCTGTTGTTGGGCTAGGTCCTTGGCTGCCATCATCATCACCTTAAAGGTAAAAATTATATGTAATAATATATTTCATATTTCAAATCTATACAATAACTGAAGGGACAAATTCCACTACACGGATTGAAAAATGCATATTCAACAAATTGGATAATCCATTCATAAGAACCAAAAAACAATCTCTTTTGTTAAAATCAGCATGTATGCCCAGGTATAAGCAAAGAATGCTCTAAATAAAAACTCTGGATGAGCCCTGGATATAAAACAAACTGACTTTGTTGGAAGTTTGTCATGATATCATTGCACACAAATCACTATCAAATTTGTAAATAACTGACAGACAGTTATTTCTAAGTGTATTAAATAATGATATAAATAATATAACAGTAATTTTATCCATAATTGCAACGTTATATAATAATAGAAATGACGGCAAAAATATATGTACTATATTGTTCAACCACGTACTGTACTGTACATGTACATGGCTGCATGCCTTCCCACGCTATTTCTAAACAACTCAAATTTACCTGAAAAGCCGACTTTGGAGGGGGACTGCCTGCCTCGGTCGTTGCCGCTTTGTCAACTTCAACTCGCACGAAGCAGCCAAACTGTCGGGTGGCCTGTCCGACCTTAAGTCCACCGAATACTTCGACGCCCTTGTCGACCCTGCTTTCGCTACAGAAAAACCTTGCATGTGCTGCTTTGGAGAGAATGTCATTAAAATTTTCCGGGCGATAATCGCTGGCTGTCGCAAGCCTTTCATACAGTTGTAGAAAGGTGATATCTTCCCCTCCAATTTCAATCGCATACCAATCTAAAACGACGCCACCCGTCTTCTTTACGACTTTTATTGTCGTGTAATTTGACAGAAGAGAAGAACTTGAAGTGGCCATATTTCCATGTGGCGATAATGCGCATGCGCAGAAAGTTCATTTTACGGCAAATTCGTTTGGGACAACCGACTTCGTTGGGGGTCTTTTTTTTTTTTTTTTTTTTTTTTGGAGAACGGACGAAAATCGGTGCGCGCGCAGGATGTCATCCATAAAATTAAAAAAAGTGTGGCCTTAATTAATAAATTTGTACCGTGACTAAATGGTACACTCCTGTTCATAATAATGTGGAATGACTTCATGACTATCTCTAAGAGTATACTTGCTCCAAACTGCATACTGTAGAACACCTAGTGTAAGTGGAATTAAACACAGCAGGTAGAACATGCTGCTCTGGAGTTGGTCTATTCCGGAATGTAGTTTGCCAAGCTTGTATTCCGCATACCCATTCCTATTGAGTATGGCCACTGCTAACATTGGGGCAAGAGATATGGCAGGCTTGATCACAAGAGCATTTGTACCATAGACCATGGAAGATATTGGGTGCCTGGAATGGATAGCAAGGACATTTTACCATGTGAATGGACAGTGTGGAGATGAAACTTATGTCTAGGAAGAATATTGTAGACATAACATTTAAGTCCAGGGTGTAATAAAATCTTATCTGTGCCACAACCACAAAAGGAATAAGCTAGGCCAGCCTTCAAGTTACTTACTCTCGATTATACAGTTTGGAGTCTTCATCCACAATATCTGACATAGGCATGTTCATCAAGGAGGATGTGGCACTGGTTACACTACTGCAAGGCAAACAAAACACAAATGTGAAATAATAATCTCCAAGTTTTCTGTGTTTTAATTTTTGAATTAATTTCATACTTGTTTAATAGTATGATCTTCTTTACTGACATTCAAGATATGTCTGTGCTAAAAATGAAATGTTTTTTTAGTACTGATGTCATTTTTTTCGATATGTAGTGCCAGGGGCAGGTAGAACCGGCCGGATAGCTCAGTTGGTAGAGCACTCGCCCTGTTAGCGAGAGGTCCCGGGTTCGATTCCTGGTCTGGTCGGTGATTTTTCTGCACTCACCCCAAATCGCTACAGATACTAGTATATAAGCTACCACTTATGCATAGAAGTATTATGCTTCTGAATATTTTTTAAATAAGCCAAGCTGAAATGAATGTCTAAAAGTACATACCTGTCTGTTATGAGGAAAACCATCAGTAGATAGAGGTGGTCTTTGCCCCAAAACAACATGAAAAGAGATGAAAATATTTTCACCACAAAAGAGCTCCTGAAAATTTGATATGAACCAAACCTGGCCACCAAAGGAGATCCCAATAGCACCAGCATCTGAAATAGTGATTAATACTAGTGTTGTAGAAAATGCCACTTTTAGGAAAATTAAGTTTCACTGAGGTGATCATAATTAAGTGAACTCACATCTACTAGTAAATTTCCCTTTTTTTATCATTTACATTTTTGCTTCTTTTTTAAATAAATCTTATACAAAAAAAGAAATCAAATCAATATACTGTAGAAGGAAAATACTGTTGAAATATAAATATTTCTAATAGCTAGCAAAAAGATTTTTCAGAAATCTCATATATAACATACAGAAAATGGATTTTTACTAGGAATAGCATAACTTTGATTTAGAGAAATAAAGTTTATATTCGACCAATTTATATCACTTTTTTTTTTTTGGGGGGGGGGGTCAAATTTTTTACATACCTACTTAAAAAATGCTTCAGTAACTATAGTGAAAAGAAAAACTCAAAATAGTATAAAGCTTACCATAGGTATCACAGTCACAAATCCATAGAAAACACTTCTGTAAACACTGGGCAATATTTCCTGTGGTATCATCATATCAGTGATAATGGCAGTAAAGTTCAACAAAAATGTTCTGTGTAATACTTGACAAAAGTTCATTAAAACAAAACAGATAAAGTTCCTCTGTCTCAGCAGTTGCCATGTCAGCTGCAACATGGAATACTTAGAAGATCTTGCAGCCTGATCTGTTCTGTTCTGACTGTCAAGAGAATTAGGTTTCAAGTCATATTCTGTATCTGCATAAATTCCAGTATAAGACATACACAGGAAGGCTATCATAGCAATTAACATAGTATAACACTGAAATTCTCCTATTTTCTTCAAATTATCAGAAAACAAATTTGCGAAGAAAACACTGCCTGAACCAGCAAATGCTGCTAACTGTGCATACTTGATCAGTCTCAGCCTGTCCTGGTGCTTGCCTGACATTTCTGTGAAAATACAACACTGAGCAAGCAGCACAAAAGTAAACATGGCATCATAAAAACATAGCGCTACCACCAGGTGGAGCCCACAAAGCCAGCTGGAAATTCCAGGCTGATAGTTCCCCCAGGGAAACCAGGGCACCAGGAATGAAAGTGCAAAGAAAGGTCCGCCATAGAGCACAGCATGGCGTCTCTTCCTCACACACGCCAAGTTTGAATTGTCTTGACAATACCCAAACAAAGGGTCATTGATGGCGTTCCATATCATGAAGATGACCTGTGCAACATTGAACCACTCTTCGGAAATGTGATACAAGTTGAGGAAGAACTTGACGTAGTAGAACATGAAGACCTCATTCATCATAGTGGCTCCCACACTGGTGGTGGCATAGGCCACTGAGGGCCAGTGAATCCTAACCATCATTACAACTTCTGAAACAAAAATCATAACATTATTGATTTATTGATTTAAACCATACCTGACATGGTATGATCAGCCTGTCAGCACAAAGTATTATTATTTTTTATTCTTAAATGTGGCTGTATGACAGGATGAAAAAAGGATGCCATCCAGTGTAAGTTTAGACACAGTGCTTGGAGTTTTCAACTAAGTGCACTTTTCCAGCTAACAGGATTTGTTCTCAGTTATTCCAGGGCTGTTCATGCTTAGAACAGTTAACATGCCAGACAACCAGTGATTATTCCTGCTAAAGTTAATTTCTGTTTTCTGCCAACCATGACTAGTGTGGACTTTCTCCATGATATCTACTAAAATATGTACAAAAATTCTAATCACACTGTAGGGCCCTGTGGGAATGGATCTACTTAGAACATCTGGAATAATGAGACTACCATGCCTTTACGGGTTGAAATGCAAACAGTTGTCCATTAATATAACTAATCACCCTGATCACAGACTGTTCTATCTTATACAACCTAAACAAACCAGCAGATATTCCCTGGGAATTTAAATCTGAGTCACTTTAAAAGACAGAAAATCAAAATCAAACATCCAATGGGTGGTTCACAAATTATCATGTAGAAGCTTCAAGTTGACTGGCAAACTTTTTTAACTTTTTAATTATTTCATTTGTTTTAATTTATATAAAGGGATTGTATCCTGGTCTTTTATATCCAACAATACCCTTATTTTTCTCAGTTACTTACTAGCAGCTATGTAGATACAGTGTTACAAACTCTTTATGTAGAAGTAGTTTCTACACAGCTGGAACAAAAAGACAAACTGGTGTTTGAACCAATACAAAAGGAATTTATAAAAGGAAATTATATATACTACCAAGACATGGGTATTTGTAGCCTTGGGACTTTGAAACAGAGTGGAATGAGGCCTTGCCTGCTTTAGGTACTTACTGTAGCTGAGACAAAGTCAGGGCTCATAAATATGATAATTGCATCAAGAGCCTTTGATTTGGGAGTGCAAATACCTGAATTAATGACACTGTGCCGCAATTTAAGTACCCCAACTTAAAATTAATAGCCACAAGCATAGCGATGGACCACACTAATAATTGGTCTCAGGCCTTATTCATATATGACTACTTTCAATATGGCTGAAGATACGTGATATTTTTCCCCTTTCTACGTCTTTGGAGATTTTTGACATTTACGTCCAGGGACATTAAAGTGGTTAAAAATCTTTCATGTATTTATAGTTATCTTAAGAAAAATAAATGTACAGTATGTAAAAATTCTCAAAACAAACCAATCTTATGTATTTGTATATTCTACTGCCTGTAATGCATATTAATTAATACGGCAGCAATGCACTCTCAACAATATCCAGCACAATAATGAACATACTAAATGGGTAGAAAAGCAGATTTGCGGCTTGTGGACCATAGTTTCACATGGTACTTTGGGATTCTTAATTCATGGCTTGGGTCATTTATCTCGGCATTTGAATTCACAAACCTGAAGCTTGAGTCCGCAAACCCATTCAATTATCTGTTTGTAAGGCATGAGGGTGGCGCAATACAAACAGTTAAATAATATAAATAGAAATAGCATTCACTTCAAACTAGAAAGAGATGTAAAAATCTCTTTAGTTTGATGCAAATGATCATTTTTACTTACAATGTGCTCAACGTCGGAGGGTATTTTCGTCTCCACTGCAACGAATTACGTGGCGCCTCGGAACCTCGATCCCAACACTTCCAATTGAATTAAAGTTGCAACACATAATTCGAACTTCAAATTTGTATTTTTCTGCCCTTGAGGTATTTTACTAAGGGGTGGTAAGCCAAGCACAAAGCCTTCCATTTCCACCACGTGCAAAAAATAAAGCCACACACAGGGGGCAATAACACTGCTAACGGCTCAATTGTTTAAAGAAAAGTGATGCATACTTGACTGATCTGCAAGGAGCATGTCGAATGAATTACGGATCTCCAATCATAGAGAGCGGTTAATCAAAAGAGTGAAAAATATTATTTGAAAATCGAATGGTACCTGTAATTTTGTAAAATAAAATATTTAACATATTTTGTATACAATCTGAAATTGATGTAACATTTCATATATTATATATATATATATATTTCCCATCAGGCAAAATAAACCGGAAGCATATGTCAAAGCAACCGATTAATAGGACTCGTGTTTTCGAGAAAGTTCACCGTTATTATTTGCCCAAGCCTTAGTATTTTTGTTTCATTTTTTGGAATATCATGGCGAAGTGGGGTGAAGGAGATCCTCGTTGGATCGTAGAAGAGAGAGCTGACGCAACAAATGTTAACAATTGGCATTGGTAAGTTACTTTTTACAAGAAATGCCCAAGCTAAAGAGACTAAAGAGATGGAGATATCCATGACAACTTCAACTAAAAACTGAGTCTCAAGTAAAATACATCATCATGTTTTATGTCTTTTATTAAGAATAGAAAAGGAAATCGTGAGCTGGTAGACTAGATATTTTTTTATTATAATTTATGTACGAATTCAAATATGTGGATTCTCCTGCCGTAAACAGTTAGAGGATGGCACATACAATAGATCTGTGGATTCCATAATCTTATTATAGCTGAATAGCAATATGTGTGTGTGTGTGCGTGTGTGTGTGCGTGTGCGTGTGTGCATGTAGGCGTGCCCACATGTATGTGTATGTGTTTGTGCATGTTACTTATTTCTTTGATATAGTGAGTTGCATTTTTTCACTTTATTTCAGGACAGAGAAAAATGCTTCCAACTGGTCTAAAGACAAAATTAAAAACCTCTTGACAGGTTTAAAAGTTGAATGTGATGATGGTAAGGAAACTCTGCTTAAAGTTATTTTTAAAATTTTCATAAACAAGAAAGTAGTATAATGGTTTCATAATAGTTTGACATAAAGTTTACCAAAGACCATGTAGTTTTTCCATCTTTGGCTACATTTTTTCTGTAAAACTGTAGAATTAGTTTCTTTACTATTGTGCATTTTTTCTAATTAGGCTGGTGTGAAATAAAAGAGGTGACCAAGGTTGAAGGGGAGGCTTCAGCAAGTAACAGAAAAGCAAAACTAATCTTTTTTTATGAATGGGAAGTGGAGGCTGATTGGACAGGTTTGTACTTTGAATGATTTTGTGTCACCAGCTAATAAAACTGAGTCCACACAAAAAGTTATTTTGGCTAAGCTTAGGTGACTATTCTTGGCTAGCCACCAAACCAAAGTTGAATTTACCTTAAAATTGGTGTAATAGCATATCAAAGACAATAAGGCCATGATAAATGGAGTTCGTATACCTAAATGGGCTTTGGTCACCAGTGAGAGATAAAAGCAATGTGCAGACAATCGCAGTGAGGGAAAACCAGACATAACTGACAAAATTAATGAGTGTTGACTGTCTGTATATGGCATTGTGGGACAAATTTCATTTTTGTTTTTTAAACATTATGTTTAGGGAAGAATCTATTTTAGCAGATGCATCTTTTTTTTTTCATTAGAAAGGGGAAGAAATGTCAAATCCACAGTATGGGCAATTTTTTTTTCTTTCTTTTTTTTTTTTTTTTTTTTTTTAANCAAAGTTGAATTTACCTTAAAATTGGTGTAATAGCATATCAAAGACAATAAGGCCATGATAAATGGAGTTCGTATACCTAAATGGGCTTTGGTCACCAGTGAGAGATAAAAGCAATGTGCAGACAATCGCAGTGAGGGAAAACCAGACATAACTGACAAAATTAATGAGTGTTGACTGTCTGTATATGGCATTGTGGGACAAATTTCATTTTTGTTTTTTAAACATTATGTTTAGGGAAGAATCTATTTTAGCAGATGCATCTTTTTTTTTTTCATTAGAAAGGGGAAGAAATGTCAAATCCACAGTATGGGCAATTTTTTTTTCTTTTTTTTTTTTTTTTGAAACACTACTTAGCTGAAATTTTAGCAGTTTTCACAAACTTTAAGATATTTTCTTGTATTGCAAGGACATTTGGTGTCATGCCTTTCCAAGTAATATGAATTACAGTAAGTTGATAGAAATGTTTTTTTTTATTATTGTAGGACAATTGGATGACAGTAAAACTAAATATAAAGGGACCCTAAAAATACCTAACCTGAGCGAGGAGAATGATCCAAGTGACATTGATGTGAGTTCCTTTTATTGATTATTGCATGGCAGGTTTTTACATTTAATTGGAGGTATTGACATTTTTTTTCTTCTGAGAAATGTGAAGGAATCGCTGTTAAGGTTGGAGATGGATTCTATTATTATTGAGTGAAGTTTATGCTTTTTGTCATATATCCATACAGATTAATTATTTCCAGCCATATATTAGTACTTTTGTTTAACTTCCACTTTCTTTACCTCCAACATTGATGCAAATGATATTTAAACAGGTTATAGTGACAGTTAAAAATGAATCTGATGAAGCATTTAAAGTGAAAGAAATCCTTAGGAAGAAGGGGACTCCCATGATACAGGAGCAAATAGCCAAATATATTAAGGATTTAAAAGTGGGTAAGTAATACTACAAAATTAAGACAAAAATAGATTTTAAAAAAATATATATCAAAAGATTGAGTAATAGTGCAGAACAAGGAAGTAAGCTGTTGTTATTTTGAATTTAATTTTTTTTTATCAATAGCTATTGATATTAGTATTGTTTGTATAGCTATTGGGTAATAACAAAGTAAATGCATTATGTAGACTACGAAATGAAAAAAGAAAATGTAAAGGAAAACCAAAACATTGCTGATGATATGGACCTGTATATTCTAGAGTTCAGTCAAGGAATGATCCTTCCTGCTAAGGGTGCAGTTGAAAAACCTAGAGTGCCAAGTCCTGTAAGTGTATATGTAAACTTGACCATTTTTGCTTTACTTCAAAAAAAAGTCCAACTGCTGTGTTTTTGTGTAGAAGTTTTGTATGCAACTATGAATGATTTTAGCAGACAAGTTAGTTATTTTAGTATTCTTGGTAATGTCTGAATTCTTTTTCACACTTTCATATCTCCTTTCCTAATTTTGTAAAATATGGTTGAATAAATCTGATCCTGTGGGTTTATAAGATGCTAATCACTAGGAACTGAAGTTTGAAATGTAAATTTTTTAAAACACTTTTTAAAGGCTACAACAAATCTTGCCAAGCAAGAACTCTCCAAGCCGATAATGGGCGACTCCGCAAAACCAGTGGGTGTCAAGATTCACACAAAGAAACTTACAGACAAACAAAAATTTAAGTGCAGAGCAAGTGATTTGTATAGAGCTTTGACAGAAAAAGAGGTACGTGTTGTTTGAAATCTCATCACATTATCATGTTACACATAATGCAAGAAACCAACTGTTAATGTTGAAATTGAACAAAAGAGAAATCTGACATTTGTATATACATACTTGTTTTTATCTAAATCATTGTAGTCTTGATTAAAGACGTTTAAATGTTAGTGTTAATAGAGTTACCTTTTTTGCATTTAAGGAGGAAGATGATAATTGTAGTGGTTTGAAAACTATTTGGAAGAATTTTGATTTCTTTTTACTTCAGATGGTTCAAGCTTTCACCAGGAATTCTATGTTAGCATTTGAAGCAGAAAAAGGTGGAGGTTTTGTCTTGTTTGATGGATATATCTCTGGAACATTTACAGACTTGGTAAATATGCCACATCTCTTCACATTTATATAATAATATCAAAAACTTTCAAAATGAGAGGAAAATGAAACACCATAGTTGTGTTTTAATTGAAATGACTATTTCATTACTTTAAATAATGGGTTAATTAAAAAAAAAACTAACCCACAGCTGTCAACATTTCACATCTTGTTGCATCTTCTGTGGTTTTTATGCTCCATCCAGTTGGGTGTGGTAGCTGTGGAAATGTTTCATGTCTGATCATCACAACTTTTTAAATAGGTAATATGATAATAGAGTGAGTGAAGGCCTCTATATTCCAAACACTGGTGGTAGCTCCCAGTCAAGTCTTCTTGATATTGCGAGTACGTGTGGGAGCAAGTGGTTGTGTTATATATTATATTTATTAATATCTGTAAAATATTCTTCTCTTTGCAGACTCCACACGAGAGGATAGAGATGCGATGGCGCTGTCAGAACTGGCCAGATGAACATTACTCTAATGTAACTTTTGAATTTAAAGAAGGGGAGGACGAGACTGTCCTTCATATTACACAGACTGGTATTCCTTCCACGGAGTTTGAACGCACTAAAGAAGGTTGGGAGAGATATTACTGGGAAAGCATACGACAGACATTTGGTTTTGGTGTCAGGCTAATATGATGGAATATCACAAGAAATGTTTTATAGTTAAATTATCAACTTCTTGAGTAAGACTTATTACTATATATCTTTAAAAAATGGACATTTGAAAAAAAAAGAACCTACTGATATGGTTGCTTAGAAATATCATGGTCAAATTACAATGGCTAAAAAATGTCCCAAGCTTAAGATTACATTTATTGTTAGGGCCATGAAGCACATGTTCTGCCCCACGCCCCTTTCTACTGGTTACATTATCACCAGGTGGTAGTGTTTTATCTATGCTATAAATTGGCTTACTTTCCACACCATTGAAGCATTCTGACAGGGAGTGGATCCATTTGTAACCCAATTTCACAATGTATGTTATCATTTTGTGCATGGATAAAAGTTTGCTATAAAGTCACCAAGTTAAGCTCTGCTTCTACAAACTTTCAAAAATGTGAAACCGTGTTCAAGAAGTGTCAAAAGTATGTTAATTTTTGTCATTTCCAAGTATTTAGTTAGAGAGAAGGAATTATAGTAAAGCATCCTGAAATAATGCGATATAAACCAGATTTCACTTTTTTTCTACAAGGAAAAGGAGAGGAGATTAAGATATTGTGGATATAGTTTTGCCTTCTGTCCAATTTAAAAATTGATCAGGATAAATAGTTTTAGAAAAAATCAGGAATAAAAATGAAATGCATGATATTAACATATTAAAAGAGGTAAATTGTTTACAATTAACCTTGTCAATGATACTGAAACCAAGAAAAGTGAAGGTGGTTTTGAATCCTACATTTTATTAGTTTTCCTTGAGTTTGAGAAACCTACTTGTGCTACATAAACATCTTGATGTCTCCTTTTTTCACATGTCATAATAAAAAATGATATGAGAAAAAACTAGAGTATGCAAATATTCTTACTTTGATGCATGTAACTGGTTAATGGCAACTCGACTGGATATAGTCTATCCATGTAATTTGATAAGCACCACCGTACTATAACACAATGCTGTTTTAAACAATTAGGACATTTCTACTTAAGACGTACATGTAGATGCCTTGAAGCACATAACACATAGAATTTATAACATTTTAATCTAATGCATGGAATTTAAAGTTCCCCTTTGTAGTATTTACACTCATTTTTCACAGACAACTACATAAATCCAACAAGGCATCAATAACCAAGATGGCTGCCAAGTATGTCATCCACTTGATCAACCAGTAACACTGATACTTAGCAATACCAATACATTAAACATATTAAATTTATATAAACCTTGGAACAAAGAATCTTTTTGTGATGAGCTGTAACATAAATGCACAGAATGCCATACAATACATGGCAGGATGTCGTTAAACCCACATCCTCGGTGTATATTGTAAATGATGATTGAAATGTTTTTGCTGAACTTGATATCAACTTGCTTATCACCCAAACTGTTCAGATTCCTTAATGTGTTTGAATCTAATTTTTAAATCATTAAAAAAAAAAAAAAAGAAATCCTTATCCTGTTGTCAGTAAAGGGAGGCTAAATTAATACCAGTTTTAAAAACGGTTTTAAAAGCTGATCAATCTGATCCTATGCTGCAATAAACAACCATTGTACTTTTTCTCTAATGTGCAGTAAACACTGAAGCAACATTACTGAAAATATCCATTCCAACAGCACAACCATTATGCTACTGAATTGCACAAAAAGTTTGATTGTGGTTGGTTGTCACCGGGATACTTGTATTAACTGTCAAGTTACCATTCTGGTCAACTTCTCTCTACAATTGTATGCAAACTAAATTCAACAACAATCAGATTTTAAATTGCACACCTAGACAATAAAATCTTGCACAAGTGTAAGGGCACTTTAAAAATCATATTTGTTTGAAGAACAAGGATAGTTTGTGAGCTTGTGGCCAAGTGTGACCATCTGTATCAGAACTTAATGTGAAACATCGAGCAATAAACATGTCGGAAAAAGGGCTACTAAAAAATTTAAAATGATGCCAACCTTACGTCTTGTCTCTCCAGTCATTTATGCCAGAACAGAAAAAGATGGATAAATCTCTGACAAACCATAAATTGGTCTCTGGTTTAGTCCTTTTCTTCTGTTGATTTCTTAGTAGTTGAAGTGGAAGTACAACTTGTTTCCTGTACTTTGTCAGTTCTTTTACGAAACATGTTAAATATGCACTCAATGTTACGAATTACATAGTCTACCCAGGTAGGTTTCTCTTTGTGAGCCGCTTTTCCTTTGTGACTAGAAGCATTTTCTTTTTTATCACCAGTTTTCGTTTTATTGTCAGATTTATCTTCCATGTTTTTACCCCCTGTGTCTTCTGTCGTTAGTTTCTTTTCTTCAGTGTGAGTCTCGATGCCTTTTTCTGCTCTCTCTTTTTCTTCCTTTGTGCCAGTGCTGCAAGTGGCAACTTCTTCATCAACTGCCTTTTTCTCTAGTTGTTCAGAAAGCTTGTCATGGCTCCCACTGCCCTCTGGTACAATGACATCACTGTCACTGTCTTTACTACTTTCCTTGACATCAGATGTTTTTAGTGGGACTTCTGACTTCTCAACAGAATCTTCTTTTTCACTGCTTATTCTCCTCTTCTTTGCTGGGGCAATTGCATTATCTGCAACAATATCATTTGGTTCATAATTATAAACCCATTATATATTTAATGCCTATTTTACTTTATACAAGAGCTTTGGTAACTTTTAACTCCATTTATTGTAAGAGGATACTGGGAAATGAACATGTTATCAATTTTTTTAAAGAAAAAAACAACAGTATACAACAAACTTATTTTTAGAGCTACAGCTAACTGTTGCACAATTATTAGCTACGTTAATGTGAGTAACCAATTTCTATACACCAAATAATTTTTTTTTTTTTTGCATTTCATGTTCCAATCTAAAATAGCAAAAACAAAAACCTGAATCTTCTTCATCACTCTCTTCATCTTCCTCCATGTCCCTGCCAGCATCCTTCTTACCACCTTCTTGTGATGTGGCCCCCACCTTTTCCTCCTCCTCCTCCTCTGCCATCTTCTGTTGCTGTTCCTGCTCCAGTATCTCTGCCCTCTCTTTCTGGTAGTCCTGGCACACCTGGAAAATGTACTCCAGGGTTGAGGCCAGCAGGGTATTGATGTGCTGAGGAGCTTGTACTGAGAAAATGAGAAGCATGGCTCGCAGGTCCTGTGGAGGATAAAAAAAATCCTACATGAATACAAACACACACTCTTAGGCTCTATTCCCATAGATTTTAGATCGATCTATCCCCGCAGGGAGTCTCACTAAATTACTTTCAGATAATCCGACTTAAATGTCCGTCCCGCCTACTACAAGCTTTAAGGGGGTAATTAACTTTCGTGTCCGCCCGGCTGGCAGCTATTTAGCATGAACCCCCAGGGAGTTAGGTCGATCTAAAGTAGGTCGATCTAATCTATGGAAATGGGGTGTTAGCTGATGTGTTAGTTTATGGCATGCAATACTTCAAGTTTAAATGATGACTTTTCATATTCAACACTCCCCAAAAGTTGTTTAGCAAATCTTTGTCTGGTCACCCCCCAACAAGCATTTCTCTCTTTTGATAGAAGCCAACAATTTGTCGCCTACATATTTATCAGATACAGTGTGAAACGTACCCCATTTAACCTGTGTGCAATGTTCAGCATGTCTTTGTGTGTCTGGGCATTCTCCAGGGACGACTTCTCTGCAGTGATGGATGCAATCAAACTGTCCAGAAGGGAGTGACCCTGGTCATTTAAAACCTGGTGGCATATCTGGAGATAAAACGAGTAGAATTGATGACAACTTACAGTACATGATCCTGGTCAAAGTTAGTAATAGGTCTTAATTTAGTAAAATTAATAGCTCTGCAATAGTTTTATGACTATGAAGTTTTATAAAACTTATATTATATCTGACAGTTATTTACATATCTCTGTCATTATCATCATGATCATAATCCTTATCATTTGGTTAATTACAACTGAAAGATAATCCCTTCCTCATAATTCTTCTGAACAAAACAAAGACAGAAAATTGACCATTATCAAAATCAAGACACACCTTATAAATATCACATTTCTCACAATTTTGCATTTCATTACCTTTGGGAAGTAAGTACACATAAACTGGTAGATGACGTGATTGTTGAGGGATTGCCTCTCATCCAGTAGAATGGCATCCACGTAGTCAATGAAGTAGCTGCTGTTACACAGAATGTTGATGTAATTCTTGTCCACATGCTGAAAAATAAGACTTTATCTTAGATATATCTATAGGTCAAATACAAAAATATCAGCTGACATCAGTAATGTACCCACTTAGTTAAAAATATTTCAATAATTGAGGACCCATATCTTGTTTATATTAACAACAGAACGTGATTTTAAAGTTTAAAAATGTTTGGTTGATGTCAAAGTTTACTCAACAACAAGTCAAAATTTTAAAATATTCAAAATATTTACGAGAAGAGTTCATGTTCATGTGAAGACTCCTATTATTTTCTCTTAAAATTTCACAATAAAATTGCTTTTGGTTTTACTTGTTATATAGCTTGATGAACTGTGTTTATTGACAGCAAATCTAATTATTTCAAATCATGTCTTGCTAAAATAATTCCTTTAAAATCAAAAATGTTCCACAAATAATTCTAAATACCAACTAACCTCAGAATGATAGATCTCATACCAGAGCTTTGGAAAGAAAGGAGAGTGAAGAGGAACACCTTCATAGGCTACCATAGCACCTGTAAAATAATGTACCTGCATAAGTAAAAAATTAACACAAACATATATCTTAGGCATATCTATTGTTGTCCTTTATATGACAATACTAATCAAAGTGAAAAAGAATTAAAACATCTTCACAATCTTCTCAATATCATCATATTAGTCGGGGAATTTTTTGTCTTTATTCCCATGGGTGCATTTGACGCTTGCTGTCAAAAATATTGCAGTAAACTCTTTGTTTCTACAATTTGATGGTAATTAAATATTTACGTTGGTACAAAATTATACATGTCTGAGATGCCTTAATATATGACTGTGACTACACACTACTTACTGAGGTTGATGACCATCTCTGTCATATTCTCCTGGTTGACTGCCACCCTGCAGATCAAGTCAACAAAGCTGAAGTAGGGCCAGAAGAACTCCTGGAGGGCCTGGTCATAGGATTCATCCACACCCTGGAGAAGCAAAAATCACAGATTTCTTCATAAGGGTTATTAAAAAAGAATTTAGTAAATAAAACACAAACAGTTAATTCAGTGAGATATTTTGGATTTATTTCCTGCAACACCTTTTGCCTTATCCAGGTGTGTGCTTTTTGAAATTGAATCACCACAAGTAATTTTGCTCGACCTATTACCATTAATACACTCGTTTATACTCTTGAACAGTGCATCAGGATGATTTCAATCATTTCTTAGACTGACTCTTCCAAGAGTTAAATGGGGTCACTGTTTCAACTACGCACACACCACACTGAATCTATATCTTGACTTACAAAGCCTATCAAAAAGTTAATCAAGGAACCGATTTGAAAAAAAAAATCTTTGTTCATATCACCTCAACTTGATGTCTTATAATCTTCATAACATTCTTTACGCATGAACTAAATACATCTAGGCTCACCTAAAATATCTGATTTTTATTACACCTTTGCTATTTTCAAATTTACTGCAGTCAATCTCCTACCTTTGTAGCCTCAAGCTGGTTGTTATGCAGGAGCATCTGGAACTGTGGCCGCGGTGGGCGTACATTAGACTTGGAAGATAACAGCTTTTGGCCCCTTCTTGGAAAGAATGGTCCCATGTTGACTGAAATGACAGATTACAAACTTGAGAATTTTGGCTACTTTTGTAAAAATTAACAGTCGGTAATTCGAAGTCACACTAGTTATTGTCTGCCATTAACAATGGTAACATGTTGACTGGAGTTAAAGAAGAAACTAAGTGGTCTACTTTCATAAAAATAAACAGTTGAACAATCAGGTCTTACGACTCAATCTCTGATATAAAGGCCCATGACCCATTTTTTAAACTCCTTTCTTCAAATATATTCACTAAACAAATGGCTCGGAAATGGTTCCATTTGGCACAAAAATTCGATTCACATGTTGCAAAGAATGACAACAGTTAAACAATCACACACTGTTATTGGTCACTTTGAGGTTTACTCAGGGTAAAGTTAAAACTACCATGTAGTATGGCTTACATATGGCAAGGTAATAAGAACTTGTTCTGACTCGGTGAAATATCTAAATAAATAATCTTAATCCAGAAATGATAATGCAGAATAAGTTGCTAATTTTTCATTAAATACAAGCCAAGTGCTAAGCAAGGGGAAAGCCATTACCTACTTTTACCACAATGATTTACTAGAGTCTGTGTAAAATCCACTTGTTTACCCATGTGTACAGATGTTGGTATTATCATAATGTGCAGTACTTACTTGGTACGTTATTTTCCTGGAATGAACTATGTGCGTGAGAAAGGATGGGTACCACGGTCTGCAGACACTCACTCTGGTACAGAAGCAGCATCTCTTTACAAACATCTGAAGTAAGAGATAAAGAGATAAAAAGTTTGATGTAAGCAATACTCGTGTCAGTAAATTTAAATCTCAGCTTTAAACCTAAGAACTAGCTAATATACTGGGCAAACTCTTTACATTATATTTTGAGGTCTGGCATATTACTGGAGGAAAATACCCCTATCTAAAAACGGGTCTCCCATTTAGTCTTTTTCTTCTACTGATTTCTCAGTGCTTGAAGTGGAAGTACAATTGTACTTTGTAGGTTCCATCAAAAAATGTGTTCAATATGCACTCAATGTTATTGTTTAGAGGAAAATAACCCATTCAGATTTTGAGGACATTTTAACACATTTCCATCTTAGATCAAAATCATTCATTTGCAATTTGTCTTTCATTTAAAACTGAAACTGAACTTATCATACTCACCCACTGCCACCTGTCTTATTTCTGGAGGGGTGTAAGCGTTGAGTAGGGTCAACAGCTTCCTCACCAGATCCATACGATCCTTCCAACTGTGGAGGCAGCTCTTCACTTCTGCATCTGGAACATTATCATGGGGAGTAAACCATGTGTGGAAACATTTTGATTCACTTACTTATATTTTTGGAGTAAGACCTCCCCCCCCCCACCCCCCCACCCCCCACACACACACACACAAATAATAATAATAATACAAACAAACAAACAATTAAATAAAATCCTTACTTTAGTGACAAGACACCCAGAAATATAACATGGAGGTCCATGAGATCCAAGTATTCATACTTACGTCTCCTGTCCACATACTGTCTGGCAGTTTTCAATACTCCCAGCAGTATAGTAAGGAGGTCCACCAGATCCTGAGTCACATGACAGGCTGTGGCCTCATGGTACATCATATGCAACATCTGGAATGCCTGGGATAAAAAAATATGGTGCATGCCAATACTTTTATCTCAAAAATGTTTTCATAGTATTTGTAGTATTATTCTCAGCAATTATGTTCTAAAGAGTGCATCTTAGTAGGCCTGTCATATAAGTGGCAGTAATACAGGAGGTGGTGGGCAAGTCATTTAGTTCAATACATTACTCAATAACCAATAACATAATTATGTAACTCAAGATTAGGCTGCATACTCTGTTCATTTAATATCAAGTCCAGTTATAAAGCCTATTCAATGTTTGACACTCTATGAAAAAGCTACATTCTTTTCAATAAAGGTTCTGCACAAAAAAGAACATTAATAAAAAAAGGAATAAAGAAAAAAAAAGAAAAGTTTATTCACCTAAGTCTTTCAAGTTAAAATAACAATGGAGAAAATTTAAGAAATTTCCATTGACTATTATGACAACTATCCACAGATCAAACTTACCTCAGCAATCATGGACAACCCATTCTGATACAGCACTAACAGCTTGTCATCTATAGTATCCACTAAGGTTTTCATGGCCCTGTGATAGAAGACATTATGTTGAGACCCTAGGCTTGAAAATGGGAAATTTTAGCAGCAGAGGTGCCAGTTGGCAGTTCCAGTTGGCTCAGGACTAAAACCATGTGTATCACCAACACCATGCTGCTAATAAGACCATTACAATGATACCCCTACATTACCTATTGTAAGGGTGCCAAAAACTTTTGACTAATGAGATCGCGAGCTAAAACTCGTGACCTACAAACGTAATCAATCCTTCAAGTTCCAAACCCTTTATAATACTGACTTTTGTTACTTGTCCTGTGTTGAATTCTGGCATTATACAAATTAATTAGAAGATCCAAATAATTATCACTTATTCCCATAGCATTTTCTAGTACATCATATCTCAACAACTTATTTTAAGGGAATTTTGATAATAAAATAGTCAGAAAAATGACAAAATTAATAATTTTAACAAATAAGATCAATTATCTATACCCTCAAACCTGTTATAGTCTAATGGCAATGTGAGTATTTGCATATAAAAGGATTTTACCCTGTGAAAGACATGAATCTCTTTACAGGGGGACAAAAATTTTAGAATATTCACTACTATTTTACTTAAAACATCCTTAAAACATAATAAAACAAACAGTGGTCACCTAACCTGTGTTTAATTCTGTCATTATACGAATCAATTAAAAGATCCAAATAATTAACACTTATCCAACTTGTATTTAAGAAATGGTGATAATAATGACCAGTTTGATGTTAAAAGGCTCTAAAGGGGTTTGTGTTTAACTAAAGCCAACCTATGTTGTTCCTTTAGTCCAAATTCTGTACAAAAAAATTAGCAAAACAGTAAAAATATAATTGTTCATAACTTTTTTAATCATTACAAAATTAAAGTCAAAAAGTCTTAATAAGGGGCAACATTATCACGACAAATTTGACAGCCTCCCTCAGAATTTGTGGAACGTAATAAGTGGTTAAAGATTAGTAGTTTGTTGAGAAAAAAGCCTTTTACATAAAAACCCTTACAATCCCCTTTGTAAGGGTGCCAAAAACTTTTGACTAATGAGATCATTTCAAGTTCCAAAAACTTTATAATACCGTCTTTTGTTACCAGACCAATGTTTAATTCTGGCATAATACAAATTAATTAGAAGATCCAAATAATAATCACTTATCCATGTAGCATTTTCTAGCACATCATATCTTAACAACTTATTTTTGGAAAATTCTGATAATGAAATAATCATAACAATGATGAAATTAAAAAAGCCATTAAACAAATCGCAAAATTTTTAAATACCCCTCAAGCCTGCTATGGTCTACTGGCAATGTGAGTATTTGCATATGAAAAGGATTTCACCCTGTGTAACTAGATAATATGTGGCATGAGGCGATTTCTATCAGCAACATTTAGAAATATTTTAGTTATAATTTTGATTTTCTGCATCTGTAAAAGAGACTGAAAAATATGTATACTCCATATCTTGGGTCTCATATTATTAAGAAAAATACCTGTTACAAGATCTATACTTCTTTACTCAAAATTGCAATTAGGTATCTAAGTAATGAATGATGAAACCAGCTCAAATGAGACAATACAAGACCAATATTAACCTTCATCTCCTGTATCAAAATTTTTAGCACAGATACATTGTATTAAAACAATTGACCTAATGACTTAGCAATATGGCTCATTTGTGCCCCCCCCCCCCCATTGACATCCCCCCATTGACATCATAGACTGTCTGATGTAAATGCAACAATCTGCCATTCATTCTAATGGCACTGTCAAACACAGGATATCACCACATTTTTTTTGTAAACATCCCAATACAAAACTCAAAAGTATTTTAAAAAGAAAAACATCCCCCTCTAATGACAGCTAACAAAAGCTTACTGTTGTAAAATAGTAATATTTATAGAAACAGGATAAATCTCAAAGAGATCTCAGTTACCAAAAGAGTGGAGGAGGATAGCTCTGTAATTAAATGCCAAATAAATGTTATTTTAACTACTCAAATTCCCCACTCAACCTCCCAGTTGCCTTACATGATCATGGTCTGCCACTGAGTCCGGGAGTCCAAAGTCTCCAGGTACATCTGCAGTGTGACACGTTTGAAATGGGTTACAGCCTTCACTTCATCTTCTGTGCTCTCAGGATACTTGGTCGCCATGAGTTTCATGAGTCGGAACAACTCTTCAACAGCCTAAAATTTGGGCCAAAATAACTTATGTAACATATGCATAAACTTAGGAATCAAATCGGGAAAATTGAGCTGGAATGACAGGCTTTGATCCCATGTTATAAAATAATTAATATTTAAAAGTGCAGTTAAATGCCCATTGATCAGTGTCTGCCCCGTATCTGTCCACAGTGTGTGACTTGAGGTCCTGTGGTCATCAGAGAGCAAAATAGTCTAGGGAGAAATAGTGACATCTGAAGCCATCTTAGTAGCACAGGTGTGTATCAAGTCTCCCAGTGTTTATGTATCTGTGTGTGTGTGTGTGTGTGTGTGTGAGAGAGAGAGAGAGA